TATATATATATATATATATTTTATCTTTATTATAAGTTCATTATCTGGTACAGCACAGGAACAAACAGAACTCTTACAGTGGAGTGACAATGACAGAATACAGCTGGTAAAAATCGTTTTATTCATTCCAAAACAAAATCACGAAGACGTACCTTTAGCTCCCTTTTAACTCCTCAAAATATAGCAACCATATGTGGAGGTTTTGGGTATATTCTAAAATAGGTAATTTGTGACTCACAAATTACCTTACCTCGAGGCACCACGTTCCTTAATTCGATCAAGTATTGACCCACGAAAGAAACGAAAAACTGTAACTTTATTGTAATCAGTCTCAGAATAAATTTACCCAAAATGATTTTGAGTTCTTGTCTTATCAAAACCAGGAATATCTTTCATCAAGACACAAAAATGAGATTAGCGTATGTTGGCACGTTCTCCACGAGCCATTTATTTACAGATTAAATGTATTTACAACTATGGTAAGTGATGGATGAATGATGACATGTTGAACCAGGTAACAACTGAAAGAGTTTGCTATCACGGGTGAATAAACAGACAAATAAACAGAAAGTAAACACAGAGAAGTGAGTTTTGCTTTTAGAGTGAGGTGAGGTAAGTTGCTTTTAGCTGTGTATTTAACTAAGGACTCCTAGTTAAATTAAGTCGAGAAAAGCGTTTAGTTTACCAAATCTCATACAAAGATAAAAATCAAATTTACGTCTGAGCACCTGTTTGTCACCAGTACCTTTACCCTTTTTGTTCTGCCTTGTGGGTACCAGGAGGTGAAGTCAGCGGTGGAAGGTCATTTCTGGGGTTCGTTCTCCAGACAGGCTCTCCATACAAGCTGGATATCAGGCGGTCTGCCTGATAAACTCAACTGGTCCCTTGGTCAGAAAATGGGGTCGCTCTCTGGTGACTAGTAGTCTGGTCCTCCAGGCAGCTGTAAGACTTATTAATTTGATCTTCACTTTGTAGAGAAATACGAACTAAAACGACGCATGAATTACCATTAGCTTAGTTGACTTCTATAAAATCAAACTCAGAGACTGAGCCGATTTGAATGAGCTATTCGAATAATCAGCGGAAGATGTGGAATGACCCCCCCCCCATCCTGGCCAGCCGTGGGAGAGGCTGGCAGGGAAGCCTCTGCCGAGCTGTGAAAGCTGTTTCTGGCTTCAAAGGGAAAATCCAACTAACTGCTGACTGTCAATTTTGGAAGCTGCACTAGCTTTTAAAACCTCTTATGGGCGGAGTCAAGGTTTTAAATTGACCAATGAACAATATTACACCAAGTTTTTAACAAATCAAATGTTTTGGAGGGAAAACTTTACTTCAAGACAAAGAAAAGGGGGTGTTTTAGTTTAATTATCTTGCATCTAATTAAAGGGTGAGACATCTTGTTTACCTCAGTAAAATAAGAATGTCACATTGTTAAAATTCAAAGCCTAAGGTTTTCTAAGGTTTAAATCATGTAATAAACACTGTTTAAAATCATGAAATAAAAAACAAGCACGTGAGTTCCTTTGTTCAAGTCACTGAAGAGTCTGGTTAAAGGCATTTTATGGCCTTTCCCCCTCTCCTTTGAAGAAAACAGGCAGGCAGTCCTGATGGGGGTTGGAACAAAGCGTCAGGAAGTCTGGTTGAGTTTGTGTAAGATATGCTAATTCGAGGCACAAAGGGAAAGGTCCATTCAACATCCTTGAAAAAAAAGTCTGAAGTTACAGTGGATTTGATTTCTTCCTTTAAGCAGTCATAGAATCGGTTACATCTAATCAGAAATTATTAATTAAAGGAGGAAAATGCTACACATATGAAATGTTTTCCCTTCTCGTTCTCTCACACACTTACATCTTCCTCTCTCTACGAATAAATACTTCCTGATAGTGGGAAACGGAGGACCACACGTGTGCGCACAGTTAAGTGTGGTCAGCGCTGAAAAACTGATGCAATAAGGCGAAAAAACAAAAAGAGGAAAAAAAAACTTTCTCAAAGTGACACCAAGACTTTCCCAAGCTAATCGTTTTTGTGCATCTTGTTTCATTTTTGGGGAATTTGAGTAAACAAAGCGTTTGAAATAAAGCTACAACAACGTGAACAGTTCTGCTTTGAATGTAAAAAAAATGACAAACTGGTAAAATGAAGGAGGGTTCTGTCGTTTTCCCTGCTCTGACTCGTGTTTGAATCAAGTATAAAACTCTTCTCTAGCGGCTAAACATTAAATCTATTTTCTCTATGCTTTAGATYTACATTATCCAGTGTTAGTACACTACTAAATCCAGCAATACTATTATTTTTTGCATTTATTCTACCCACTGGCTGCATTGCTGGTGTAATATTGAAAATAAAACCTATGAAACGGGCTGATAGTTTTTAAAGTTCTGAGGTACAAACTGGTTGGGAAGACACTAACAGTGATGTGTTTTTCCCCCCCACAAAAAGCCACAACTAAATTCATCACACCCACTAAACACAGCTGCACTCAAGTATGATGTTTGTAGTGCAAGGATGTACTAATGATTGCAACAAATAAAAGTTTCACTAGTGAGGTTCAGCCTGATCGGATGGATCTTTATGCACGTATGTTTCTACGTCTCGCTCAGTTTTTCTCACTCGGCAGCTCCTCTTCGTTCCCGTTGGCTCCCAGGAGAGCAGAGACTTTGTTTTTAGTCGGCACGGTGTAGGGCTGACGGATGTTCACTCGGTTCTTCTCCGCCTCCAGCTCCTCGTCGTAGCGCTCGTCCTCCTCGTTGTCTTCAGCCTCACTGTGGTGCGGCGAGGAGTGGCGGGACAGGGCCGGGGACGGAGGTACGGAGGCGGGTCGGGGGTAACGGAAACCTGCAGTCTGAGGAAGGAAACAGGAGCTCGGTCAGTCCCTGGAATATATATGTTTGTGTTTAACAATTTGTCTTTTTATTTTGACACAAAAACTCACTGAGGCGGTCTCTTCGGGTTCATACACATAGGTGTCGGGGAAAGCTTTAGCAAGGGCCATGTGACGAGCCGCTACGTAAAACTGAGCAGAGGAGGAGGGAAAAAGAAAAAAAAATCAAATAAAAAAGGTAATGTTTATAATAAAGTTAATGTTTAGGGTTTAAAAATCTTACCCTGCCAAGGTATCTCCAGTCCAGGAGGTCACTCAGGCGCTCAGTGCGATTCCTCTGGATGATCCGYTGGCGCCGGCTCTGCTTGCAGAACTGGAACAGGAAGGAAGTGAGCTGGTTACACGACTCGTCAACCCCCTTGTACCGACGGTCGAGAATGTAAATACCAGTCAAAAAAATAAAAGTAAACAAAGACGCAAAGGGAAATCCAGCAGCAATCATTCACGTATAGATTTAAAAAGATACATTTTAAAAAGGGAGTAATAAATACGTACCATACGATGTAGGGTCTGCTATGTGTTCCTCCATAAAACATCCAAAACCTGACAGATTTGTTGAGATGGAAAGAATCCCCATGACTGTGCACTCAGCTGGTGATGACACGAACATGAAGAAATTTGGTTATGCCAACTCTTTTATTTGCTTTTTGGTTGTACTGTTCTACATTTTGAGCTTCCTTTAAATTTTCATTTGCTATGGAGAGACATGTTATATAATAAGTGGGGAGCTACAGGGGTTGGACAATGAACCTGAGTTTTAGACCACAATAATTTATTAGTATGGTGTAGGGCCTCCTTTTGCGGCCAATATAGCATCAATTCGTCTTGGGAATGACATACACAAGTCCTGCACAGTGGTCAGWGGGATTTTAAGTCATTCTTCTTGCAGGTTAGTGGCCAGGTCACTACATGATGCTGGTGGAGGAAAATGTTTCTTGACTCGCTCCTCCAAAACACCCCAAAGTGGCTCAATAATATTTAGATCTGGTGACTGTGCAGACCACGGGAGGTGTTCAACTTCACTTTCATGTTCATCAAACCAATCTTTCACCAGTCTTGCTGTGTGTATTGGTGCATTGTCAACCTGATACACTGCATCGTCTTCAGGATACAATGTTTGAACCATTGGATGCTCATGGTCCTCCAAAATGGTTCGGTAGTCCTTGGCAGTGACGCGCCCATCTAGAACAAGCATTGGGCCAAGGGAATGCCATGATATGGCAGCCCAAACTATCACTGATCCACCCCCGTATTTCACTTTGGGCATGCAACAGTCTGGTTGTCCTCACTGTAACTCTCATGGATTTGAGGAAAACGGTAAAGGTGGACTCATCAGAGAACAGGACATGTTCCACATTGTCCACAGCCCAAGATTTGTGCTCCTTACACCATTGAAACTAACCTTTGGCACGAGTGACCAAAGGTTTGGCTATAGCAGCCCGGCCGTGTATATTGACCCTATGGAGCTCCCGACGGACAGTTCTGGTGGAAACAGGTGAGTTGAGGTGCACATTTAATTCTGCCGTGATTTGGGCAGCCGTGGTTTTATGTTTTTTTGGATACAATCCAGGGTTAGCACCTGAACATCCCTTTCAGATAGCTTCCTCTTGCGTCTACAGTTAATCCTGTTGGATGTGGTTCGTCCTTGGTGGTATGCTGACATTACCCTGGATATTGTGGCTCTTGAAATATCACAAAGACTTTCTGTCTTGGTCACAGATGCACCAGCAAGACATGCACATAATGTTGAGTGCAATGCAATATTTTGAGCAAAACTGTGCTCTTACCCTGCTAATTGATTCTTCACACAATCAATCAATCAATCAATCAATCAAATAAATAAACAAACAAACAAACTCTTCCATGATACAAGTCCATATATGCATCTGTGTTCACATCTTACCTGGTGTGTAGCCCCAAGGGTCATAGTAAGAAGGGAAGACACCAAGGTGGCAACCTCTGACGAACTCCTCATAGTCCATGGGAAGCAGAGGGGAGGTAGATGAGAGGAACTCTGGATGGAAGATAATCTGAGGAAGAAGAAGTGATTCAGACCTGAGCTCTCACTAGAATACTATAAGCAATAAACTGGGTAATTCCTGCAGACTTGAAATAACCGTGACAAGTGGTGTCAGGGCTGATACTTCTTGGCTCCTGTCGTACCTTGACTCAGTCAGCAGAGCTGTTGAAAAGGCCGATGCGGCGGACACTGTTAAGGATGGGGTCGCTGCTGTCCTCCAGCATGTTGTGGGTGCAGACCGGAGGCTGGCTCTGCCTCTGAGTGGCAAAGATGGCACGCTTCATGATGGTGAAATCCTCTTTGTCCAGCATCTTTGACACATCTGGCAGCTGCCCGCTAATAGAAAACACAGATAAAGCAGCATTTTTGGAAAGAAATGGCGTAATACAAAAGAAAAACTTGAAAACGTTGGTTATTAACTTAGATTTCTGTAATCCAAGGGGATTATTCCACATTATAATAATCTCTTCAGGTAGAATCAAGTGGTTAACTTACACTAGTAGTGACTCATAGAGTTTCTTTCCAAAGCGCTCCTTCACAGTATGAGCAGTATCCCTGCAGACAACAGTAAAGAAAATAGAAACAAGCTTTAATAATAACAACAAGCCTTTTCACTCAGCTACATTCACAGCA